CTTGACTAAAGGAAACATAAATTTGACTCGAAGTCGTTACACGCTACATATAACATAAAACTCGAATTATGAACATCTGACAATAAAATATAAATTTGTTAGTCAATCCTGAACAACTGCAATGCCACATACATCGGGCAAACAAAGCGGCACTTATGCACGCGTCTCAGAAAGCACTATTGTCACTATTATTTAGCGAAAGACAGTTAACGTAGCCCTACGTCTACTTTCCTTCGCTGAATACTTTAACATGAAATAGTGACAGTTGACGTAGTTCTACGTTGATGTTTGCGGCACAGTTCTTACTGTGCCCGTTTATTCTTTTAGTTTTCGATGCCAATGTGTTTCTTATTGCATCCCCCTCTTCTCCTTTATTGCTATTATAGCATAAATTTTTTAGTGAGCACATAACTGTGTCGACTGGGGGGAGAATACGTCAACGCAATTTCGTCATCTAGCGATACATTTTGCAAATAATTTTCGTGAACCATCCAATACGCGGGATCTGTTCTTTTATCACTGAAATATAAGTATGGAGTGGGCACTGCGATGCTACGCCTGTAGGCGGAAAACGTGCCTGAGACAGATGGATATTGTAGGATCCCTCTCTTTCTCTGTTATACAGGATGCATGCGCATATTACTGAGAGGAAGAGACAAGGACAACAATCCCACTTTACCTTTCTCTCGGTACGCGCTAGTGCCTTTTCCGTACTTATATCTCAGTGTTTTTTATACTCTATATTTGTTGATACGTCTATATTTGTTGATAAAGTGTCTTAATTCGCTAGGTCATAGTAGTAGACTGATTATCGGATTAATTTATTCACTGGGTCGATAATGACCAACGCGCGTGCGGTTTATCAGTATATTAACCCTCCATTGCCCTCGTTCGTCAAACGAACGTCAGTGCCCTCGTGTTAGCCCTACGCCGCGCTTGTATATTTGTCACTGTATTAGTGTGATATTGCCATATAGTTTTCTCAGGTCAATTATTTCTAATATTCCATTATTTCTAATATTTGGTTAAACTCTAACCGACCATTAACTTTTCAAAATAGTCAATAAAAATGGGCTATTCTGAAAGTTAACGGTCGATTAGAAGTTAACAAATGTTGGAAATATTGGCCCCTAAACACAGTTTTGTAAGAACAAGAGGATGAAACATCGATCGGTACATCAATCTAAAACAGTAAAACTTTCATTTGGCAACAACACGAGTTGCGTCGACTCTAAGTAATAAGTACTTGCTCTTAATATGAGCGCTGCGCATAGATATATCACACGTTAGCACTTTCAACGTCTAATCTAAAAATTGTATTAACAAAATTTTAAAAAATAATTATGCAAATATAATCTAAAAGGTTATAATATAAATAAAAGTTATAATACAAAAGATTATAAATAAAACAACAAAAAGTTTCAAAGTCAAGTTTTATGCAACATCTATGTAATTGAGGAAATAAGATGTTAGCGCTCACCTAACACGAGGGCATAATGGAGGATTAAAATATATAACAAAAAGAATTTTTCTCTAACTGGTAAGAAAAATGCAAGGTGAAATAAAAAGAGTTAACTACCCAGAGAACATTAAGACGTCTAAAAGATATAACATTTTTTAAACGCCTTATATAATTGTCAGAAAGACATCTTTAAGACATCTTTAAAATATTTTATATCTTGATTTATGTTTTTAAGACATTGTTTTAAGATATCTTAAAAACATTTTATTTGGGACTACTTTTAGATATATTGTAAAGTAAAATTAGTAAAAACGGAAACGGGTTAACAAGGAGAATAATAACAAAAGAAAAGCTAGTATTGCTTGAGAGAGAAATAAATCGGTATATAAATAATTTAATATTTACAAAACTTTAATAACACTATCTATTACAGAGACCAGTTTTGTCATCAGCAAAGTTACGTCATTAGTAATTATTAAATTATTAATATACCGATTTATCTCAGGTAATTCTAACTGCTATTCCGTATTCTCCCTTTTGTTTACGCGTTTTTGAACAGTTAATTTCACTTTAATTGTATAATTGTGACATTGAATAATGTAAAATATTGTAATAATAGATCGATTAATTGACAGGAAATATTTGTATAGCCTATGATATATCGTGCATATTAAAAGTTGCGAAATTGGGCAATTATCTCAAAAAGTATTAGTTTATTGGAAAAATTTTTCAGATAAAAGTCGAAGGGTTTAAAGGGGGCTAATAGACAATCTTATTAGATTTTAGGTCTGGAACCCGTTTTGAGAGGCCCAGAATAATCCAAATTAAGTTTTTTTTAAATAAAAACTCTCATTTTTTTTATTGTATTATCTTTTTCCATTAATTAATTTCAACAACTTTTGTCTAAAACATTTTTTTACTTGCCTAATCTTTTTCTAAATATTTAAGGAAGACTTGGTAACTTTTTCAACATGCTGCTGCAATAGTACCTCAACTTTTCTAAATATTTGTGTAGATATTTCCTTGGAGCTTTCATGTATTTCTATCATTTTGAATTTCGATGTGTACTGTACTTTGACATGAAGTTGTGCTTAATTGTAGTCACGTGATGTATCACTGTAAAGTTTCGACTTCCCTTTATTCATTAAGCAAATGCTGTCCTTTCTAGTGTGTATACGAAGTTATTGCAAACTATTAAAATGAAGATGGAAAAAGAGCAAATTCGATTTTCTTATATGAGTTCAAATTGAGTAAAGCTTCGGAAACTGCACGCAATATTAACTAAGGGACCGTCAAGAAACGTATAGTTCAACGTTGATTTCACAAATTTCATAGCGGAGACGAAGGTTTAGACTTTAGAAGATGAAGCGGGTGGACGGCCTGAAGTTGTTGATAATGATTAATTAAGAGGCATTATCGATGCAAATCCATTGAAAACCACTAGAGAAGTTGCACAAATACTTAACGTAGACCATTCAATGAGCCGAGGTATTCACATTTGAAGTTAAAGATTAAAAACCACAATTATTTTTGTACCAAACTAATACATAGTGAAATTTTTTTCTTGAGTATGCTTTGTCCTATCCGTGCCATTTAGATTGTAACCGAAACAACATCTTTTGATCAAGTCTTTTTTAAAACGTCTATAAAACGTCTTCTAGATATGCGCGTTGTGTCAGTAGGTTATTATTTTTCTTATTATATATTTTAACCCTCCATTGCCCTTGAGGCAAACACTCATATCAGAGTAAAGTTTACTAAACTTAAGATTAGTTTTCTTTATTATAATTTAATTTTTGTATTATAATCCGAAAAAACAACACCGGACTAATATAGTGATATACGTAGTACAGGCGCGGTACGGCGTTCATATGGGAGCACTAACATTTATTTGCTAAACAAAGACAATGGATAATCCAACAAACTGTATGCGCGTTGATTATTATCGACTCAGCAGGCAAATCAGATCGATAAATCAGGCTGCTATAACCTGACAAATTATGGCACTTTGCTATATATATCTATAAATAGAACTCATAATTAAAATTGAGCCTAATTTTATTATTAATTTCTTAAATTTCAGCTACGCATGGTACATGAAACAAGACTTGGAAAGACTATTAGAAGTGCGTAAACGTGTGAACATTTTACCGCTTGGTAGTGGTGCAATAGCAGGAAATCCTTTTTCAATCAATCGTCAGTTTTTGGCAATAGAACTTGGATTTGACGAAATTACTCAAAATAGTATGCATGCTGTTGGAGATCGAGATTTTGTCGGTATGTTTTACAAATATAATGCTTATTTCAGATAAAAACTAGTAAATATTGGTAGATTAAATAATGTAACAATATCTTGTAGGGGAGAGCGGGACTAGTTGTGACACTTTTTGAAAATTTTATGTATCTTCTAAATTACTGGTCCCACTGGTCAGATGATGCTATTATTCAAAAGAACAGTTTCTAATCATTTAGATCCTCTACGTTTCTTTTGCTTTGTTCATGTGCAACAGTAGTGTACAAACACTTGAACAAAACGATGCAAGTGTCACAGCTATAAACCTATCAGTAGGGTAAGTTGTGACACCCGTTGTTTGTTAGCATTGTTGTTTTTTGTCAATAAGTTCGTACTATGGTTGTGACGCAATTAGTAACAAAGTTAGTAATAATTAGTTAAAATCGTTGAATTCATGATGTTTTTGATATAAAGATATACAAAATTGATTAAATTAAATAAACAACTTAAATCAAATAAACAATTAATGATATCGAAAAATTATTGAACAATCATTATTTCAGTAAATATGCATAAAAGGTTACACCTCACCAATTTTATCGCCACTTAAATATATTATAGGGGAGGTCTTTCTGAGTAATTCCACGCCAGAAAAAAGTGGAGGACGGCATTAATTCAAAAGAAATAGCAAATTAAAGTTTCACACAATTTTAATACTTTTTTTTAGGTATTATAAAGTCACATTAGTTCTAAGAGAAATAATTTGCTGATATGTGCTACCGTCCCTTCCCCGCAAGCAAGGGTGGGTGGGGGTGGACATCGGTTCGCGTAAAAAATCATGGATATTTTGTCAACAATCGAATTGACCGACCTATTGTTACTGTTAACGAGGTTGAGAAATTCGTGTAATTGCATGGTAAAATCTTCTAATGAATTGTGCAAAATTTATCAATTCGAAAAGAATTTATCGCCGCGCTTGAATTCATTTCAACTTCTACATATTTTATCTTTAACAATATTATTTACAAACTTTCGGTGCACCTATGGGATCACCTTTATCGCCAATAGTCGCTGATGTCGTCATGTAGGATTTAGAAAAAAAGGCATTAAGTTCTATTGACTTGCATCCATTAATATTTCTTAGATACGTGGATGATATAATATTAGCTGCGCCGCGCGATATGATTGAATACATTTTAAGGGGATCCTATAGTGGCAGTCTTTACCGACATTTAGTTAAATGCATTAAGGGGATGCTGGAGCCGTCTGTTTTACCGGCATTTTTTGTCGGCACGTAGCGTCGTATTAATTTGACAGAATTAAAAATCCTTCTCCAGAATTGCAGTACATACATTAATGATTCGGGGAAACTCCGATTTTATATAGAAAACGAGAAAAAATTACGGAAGTACAGATTTCCTTATCCTACTCTTATCCCAATATGGCGTCTCGAGTTGCGGCGAGCTGTCAGCTCGTCACAAGATGTATTTCATATAAGAGATATACCATTGGTACGAACGCGAAAACAAGTTTCCCCGAATTGCACAACAAGAAAAACATCGATAAACCCCCCAAATCAAGATTTGGAAGCGTAATATAAAAGTATAATGTCGGTGTGCATCATGCGTATGTGTGCGTGCAATGTAGCGTGCTATCCTTGTCTATATCTTTGTCTATACAAGGACAGATATAGTTCGCCGGTCTTCTTTACCGACGCCGATCGAGTTCGGCTACGGCTCCAGCATCCCCTTAAGGTGATGCTGGAGCCGTCTGTTTTACCGGCATTTTTTTGTCGTCATGTAGCGTCGTATTAATTTCACAGAATTAAAAATCCTTTTTCAGAATTGCAGTACATACATTAATGAATCAAGGGAACTCCGATTTTATATAGAAAACGAGAAAAAATTACGGAAGTACAGATTTCCTTATCTACTTTTATCCCAATATGGCGTCTCGAGTTGCGGCAAGCTGTCAGCTCGTCACAAGATGTATTTCATATAAGAGATATACCATTGGTACAAACGCAAAAACAAGTTCCCCTGAATTGCACAACAATAAAAACATCAATAAACCCCCCAAATCAAGATTTGGAAGCGTAATATAAAAGTATGATGTCGATGTGTATCGTGCGTATGTATGCGTGCATTGTGGATAAGAGTAAAGCGCAAAATAGCAGAAGATTAGTTCCAAGATATTCGGATAGAGGCGTTATAAATTTCCATGGCATGCACCGTATGCACGCACGCACGGTCGCACGCACGCACGCACGCACGCACGCACGCACGCACACATTCAGAGATGAGTGTAGAGGACGAAGGGTAAGAAGTGTGAGGTGAGGTTATACATCTGTCACCATCTGTCACTATCATAGCAAATGTGTTTTTCAGTATTTAGTAAGTGAATGTGTTGCATACTGTGTTTACGCGAATGTTACTTCTGTAGTAACTTACGATAATTCACTCCGCGTAAACGCAGAGACCTTCGTTTACGTGGTGTAATTATCATATGTTACTACAGAATAAACCCGTTGACGCAGAGTGAATTATCGTATAAGTTACTTACTATCGTAAGAAGTAACGCTCGCGTAAACGTAGTAACAATAAATGTGTAAATGCATAATATTTTTAGGCTATATTTATATATTACATTGGCTGCATTCCGATATTCACTGTCAGTACTGAATATTCCCAATAAACACAAATACGTCCTATGTACGTACAACGGACGTCTATGCCGGACGTTGTGTATGTACGCCCACGGACGTCCATACCAAGTACAGCGGACATACACGGGGCGTCCACTGTACGTCCGTTTGCAACTCTAGTGGACATCCATAAGACGTCCATTATTGGATGAATGGATCTTAAATGGACGAATTATGGATCTTAAATGGACAAAATTCATACCTTTACTGGACATATTTCGTCTTATTATATACATGCATAATTCATAATTAATTAGGTAATTAATCGTTAACAACAATTTTGTAGAACTGAAATATTTTTATTTTTTATTTACTGTGTGTGTGTACAAATATATATATATATATATATATATATATATATATATAT